GGCTCAGTGTGGCTAGTAATAATGAGGCCACTGCCTGGGTGTTAATTATATCATGCACAGGAGTTCAGTGCCAGAGGAAAGTAAAGATAAAGAAGAAAGAGATCTTTTTAAAAAAACGTTCTAAAGGGGCTTTTTTAAAAACCCTGTCCCTAAAACTGAGTAAATTAAACAAACCATAGTAAACTGAATAATGGCCCCAAAGACTCCATGTCCTAATCCGTGGAACCTGTGACTGCTACTTTATACAGATGGTCCCCGATTTACAGTAGTTCAGTTTAGGATTTTTCTGCTTTATGATAGTGTGAAAGTGATGCATTCATTAGAAGCTGTATTTCAAGTACTCATATGCTATGGTTTGAATGTTTATTCCCTTGGAAACTCATGTTGAACCTTAATCCCCAATGAGGCAGTATTGAAACGTGAGGCTTTTAAAAGGTGATTGGGTCATGTGGGCAGCGCCCTCATAAATAGATTAATCCACTTATGAATTAAAGGATTAATAGATTATTAGGTTCATGGATTAATGGGTTATTATGGGAATGGGACTGGTAGCTTTCTAAGAAGAGGAAGAGAGACCTGAGTGAGTTAGCTCCCTCACATGGGTTGCCCTGTGCTGCTTTGGGACTCTGCAGAGAGTTCCCATCAGCATGAAAGCCATCACCAGACATAATCCCTTGATCGTGGACTTCTCAGCCTCCATAACTGTAATAAATAAATTACTTTCCTTTGTAAATTAGTAAGTTTCAGATATTCTGTTATAAGCAACAGAAAATGGAGTAAGACCCCATAGAACCATTCTGTTTTTCACTTTCAGCACAGGATTCAGTACTTTACATGAGATTATTAAACACTTTATTATAAAATAGGCTTTGCTTAGATAATTTTGCCTGAGTGTAGGCTAACGTAAGTGTTCTCAGCAATGTTTAAGGTAGGCTAGGCCAAGCTGTGATGTTCAAGTGTATTAGATACATTTTGTTGATCTTTTCAACTTAGGGTGGGTTTATTGGGCTATAACCTCATCATATAAGTGACTTCAGTTATTTCCACCACACAGTGGACATTCTGTTTGAATCTTGTCAATTATTTTGGTTCCTTGTAAGTGCAGAAATGGCTTTTTAATTCATGAATTCTAGTTCTTGTTAGAAATTTCTGTTGCTTAAATCAAAACCACAATGAGATACCATCTCATGCAAGTCAGAATCGCAATTATGAAAACTCAAGAAACAATAGATGCTGGAGAGGATGTGGAGAAATAAGAATGCTTTTACACTGTTGGTAGGAACGTAAATTAGTTCAACCATTGTGGAAGACAGTGTGGCCATTCCTCAAGGATCTAGAACCAGAAATATCATTTGACCCAGCCATCCCATTACTGGGTATATACCCAAAGAAATATAAATCCTACTATAAAGACACACGCACACGTATGTTTATTGCAGCGCTATTTACAATAGCAAAGACATGGAACCAATTCAAATGCCTATCAATGATTGACTGGATAAAGAAAATGTGCTACATATACACTGTGGAATACTCTGCAGCCATAAAAAGGAATGAGATCATGTCTTTTGCAAGGAAATGGATGAAGCTGGAAGCCATCATCCTTAGCAAACTAATGCAGGAACAGAAAACTAAATGCTATATGCTCTCTCTCATAAGCAGGAGTTCAACAATTGAGAACGCATGGACACAGGGAGAGAACAACACACACCAGGGCCAGTTGGGAATTGGGAGTGAGAGGAGGGAGAGCATTAGGACAAATAGCTAATGCATGCAGGGCTTAAAATCTAGGTGATGGGTTAAAAGGTGCAGCAAACCACCATGGCACATGTATACTTATGTAACAAACCTACACATTCTGCACCTGTATCCCAGAACTTAAAAGTAAAATTTAAAAAACGAAAAACCAGAAAAAGAAAAAAGGAAATTTTTGTTGCCTATGTGACTGTAGGCTAAGTGCTAAAGTACAGCCTTCTGAGTGGGCAGTGCAACTCAGTGGTTGAGCAGACTGCAGCCGAGTGCTTGGGTCTCATTGTGATTCTGCCATGTACTTGTGTGACGGTCAGTAGTTATTTACTCTGAGCCTCAGTTTCCTAATCTATAAAATGGAAAAAATAACACTTAACTCATTAGCTTATTGTGAAGATTAAATAAGCTAACATAAGTATCTCCAACTTAACAGCAGTAGTAATTTCTGAAAATCAGACTTCTAGATAAAAGCCTGGAGCCTGGCCGGGCGCAATGGCTCACGCCTATAATCCCAGCACTTTGGGAGGCTGAGGCGGATGGATCACGAGGTCGAGAGATCGAGACCATCCTGATCAACATGGTCAAACCCCGTCTCTACTAAAAATACAAAAATTAGCTGGGTGTGGTGGTGCACGCCTGTAGTCCCAGCTACTCGGGAGGCTGAGGCAGGAGAATTGCTTGAACCGAGGAGGCGGAGGTTGCGGTGAGCCGAGATCGCGCCATTGCACTCCAGCCTGGGTAACAAGAGCGAAACCCCGTCTCAAAAAAAAAACAAAACAAAACAACCTGGAGCCTTTTTTACATTATTTTAAGGAAGAAAAATGCGAATGTGTAACGAATCAACCATCCCTCCCCTCTAAGCAATTTCTTAAAACTGCAACTAAACACACAAAAATTTCTATATATACATAAACTCACATTAAGATGTAAAATGCACAAAACATCCCTTCTTGATCACTAAATAACACTAACATCTTAATGCAGGCACTTCATGTTTCATATGCAGTGGTTCCAATGAACCACTGCAATCATTTTTTTTTCGCTTTGGTTCCTTCTCTACAACTTTCTTCAATGCATTCCAAACTTTATTTGGAACTCCTTGTTCCAACTTATACTTAGCCCTACGCAAAAGCAAGTGTTAGATATGAAAGAGCAAAAAATAGGTTCCAGACCATGACACAGCAACAATGAAAGGATCACACTGAGCAGGACGGTGAGAGCTTCTGGGCATCAGTAGCATCCTAAAGAGCACCTCGAAAATGCACCTCTTCTTATTTTTTCAAGAGTCAGTGTCTCACTCTGTCACCCAGGCTGGAATGCAGTAGCCCAGTCATGGCTCACTGCAGCTGCAAACTCCCGGACTCAAGTGATCCTCCCACCTCAGCCTTGCAGTAGCCAGGATTACAGGCTGGAGCCACCATACCTGCGATCTGGGATCACTGCAACCTTTGCCCCTCCCCGCCCCCACCCGCCCTCCTTGCCTCTTGGGGTTTAAGCGGTTCTCACCTCAGCCTCCTGAGCAGCTGAGTAGCTGGGACTACAGGTGCACACCACCACGCCCGGCGAATTTTTTGTATTTTTAGTAGAGATAGGGTTTCACAATGTTGTCCAGGCTGGTCACTAACTCGTGGCCTCAAGTGATCCTCCCGCCTAGGCCTCCATCTCAAAGTGCTGGGATTACCGGCATGAGTCACCGCGCCCAGCCACTAATTGCACTTTTTAAAGGTTTATACTGGAATCTCATCTCTTACCAAGTGTATTCAACGTCTCATTTTTTTTTTTTTTTCCTGCAGAGTGTTTTTTGTTGATGGTGGTGGTGGGTTTTGTTTGTTTGTTTATGAGACGGAGTCTCGCTCTGTCACCAGGCTGTAGTGCAGAGTCGAGATCTTGGCTCACTGCAACCTCCGCCCTCAAGGTTCAGGCTATTCTCCTGCCTCAGCCTCCCGAGGAACTACAGGTGCATGCCACTGCGTCAGGTTAATTTGCACATTTTTAGTAGAGACGGGGTTTCACCGCATTGGCCAGGCTGGTCTTGAACTCCTGGACTCAAGTGGTCTGTTTATATCAGCCTCCCAAAGTGCCGGGATTACAGGTGTGAGACACTGTGCCCCGCGAGACACCCTTCTCTAAAAAAAAAAAAAAAGTTAAAAAATGTTGTGAGTTTTTAGGATGTGAATACATATTTATTCCCTACATAAACATCAACTAAAATATGTCAAAATGAGGATTCTTGTTTTTGTTTTTGAATTATGTGTATCAAAACCTATGAATCTCCTTAAGAGAGGAAGGGAAAAACGTTAGGTGTGGGGAAAGCCTTTAGAACAAGCCTGGCCAGTAAAGGTTTGCTGCATTATCAGTCCGGGTCATTAACCTTGTCAACAGCTGTATTCTGTCATTCATTCATTCATCCCTTCCAAAAATATTTTTGGAAAATTCACTTCAGGTCAACTTCTGTTGTCAACTTTGAGGGCACTTGGTAAACGAACTACGTTCCCTTCCTCCAAGGAGCCAACATTTTAGCGGGGGAAATGTAGGCCAACTGTGCTAGGTGCTTCCAGGGAACGCGAGGCTGAGCGGGCGACAGAGGCTGACTTCCGGGAAAAGCTGGCCCCGGGTGGCAGGCAGGAGCCCCGGGTGGGAGGCAGGAGCCCCGGGTGGGAGGCAGGAACCCCGCGCAGACAGCGAGGGATTCGCACCCTCGGTCTGCACCGCGCAGTCGGGCGCCACAAACCCTCCAGGCCCCAGCCGGGCCCGAGGGAGCGGGGTGCAGCTGGATCCCACAACACCAGGGACCCAGGGAAAGAAGGCGAGTCCACTCGGTTTGCAAGAAAGGTCTCCCGTGTTACCTTGGCTGAGGAGAAGGCATGATCGTATTGTAACTAGGGACCCCCAATGCATCTGTCCCGCGTCCGAGCTGCTGCTGTGTTCAGTGGGCACTGAGACACCTGAGGAGGGCTCCAAACCTCCGTTAAGGCAGCAGACAAGGGAAGCAGCCAAGGAAATCAAAGTGGACCGCGCCGGGCTGGAGCCGCACTGGGGCGGTGGGCCAGGGCACAGGCGAGTTGGCGGAGGCGTTGGCGGCGGCCATCCAGCCGCGGACTCCGTCCTGGAACCGACTTCGCGTGAACACACCCGGCGATTCAGAGCTCTCTCAAGTCACATTCTGAGGCCCCGCCCCCGGAACTCCGGGCTAGACGACCCCGCCCCGGAACTTTGTGTCACCGGCACTAAATGCAGAGGTTCCTCTAGTTGCACACGGACGCAACTGTGAGGTGACCTAAACACTTCCGGCGCGGAAAAATGGCAGCAGCCGTTCCAGACTCACGTGTGAGTGCGGAGGAAAATCTGAAAAAGATCCCAAAGAAGATGATGAAAATGGAAACCGGAGCCGTAGCGTCGGTGCTGGAAGAAGAGGACACAGACACGTCTGATAGCGAAGGTAATGTGGTAGGGCTGAGCTTTGGTGTTTAGGAGGAGAGGCCAGGCTGAGTTCATGTCAAGCAGCGCTTGCGACTGCATTTGCTGCTAGCTACCCGGGTTTTATGTTGGCACCAAATCGGAGCAGCGACTTTGACTTAGTGAGGAGACTTGGGGAAGTCGTGTTCATCAGAGAAGGAACGCTGTCAACTGTAATTTTGAGTTTCCACATTCTTTTGCTAGGCATTTTCAGGGTCACTGTTATTAATTATAATAAAATGGGTAAAACAGCTGCAGCTACCGAGAAACTTAGAACAGCAAAGGGTGAAAGGAAGAGGGTACTTGAAAACAGGAGTAGGATGGGTCTCACAGGGTGTAAGAAACAAAAGGTTAAAAGAGGTAAGAGGGCCGGGCGCGGTGGCTCAAGCCTGTAATCCCAGCACTTTGGGAGGCCGAGGCGGGTGGATCACGAGGTCAAGAGATCGAGACCATCCTGGTCAACATGGTG